CTGTCCTCACGGGTTTGGATCTGCCTCTTCTTTCCTCACGCAGGGATTCCCGCCTACATCGTGGTGCCCCGGACAGCCCCACAGTGTAAGCAAGCCGCCATCCGCGCCTACGGTGCCACGGTGGTGCCATGTGAGCCCAGCGACAAGGTAAGCACAGGGGAGACTAGCCAGGGACGGGGCCTGGAAGGAGACGTGACCATCTGCGCTTTCCCGTAGTCCAGAGCTGAGACGGCATCACGTGTAGTTCAGGAGACAGGAGGAGTCATGGTGCACCCCAACCAGGAGCCGGCAGTGATCGCAGGGCAAGGCACAATCGCCCTGGAGGTGCTGGAGCAGGTGAAGGAAACACAGCACAGCACAGCTCTTCGTAGGCAGGGGCACCCGAGGTGCCAGAAGCACTCACACTTCCTTTCTGCGCAGGCGCCTGAGGTAAATGCAGTGGTGGTTCCCGTTGGAGGCGGAGGAATGATTGCAGGAATAGCAGTTGCCATCAAGGTAGGCAACAGCTCATCCGGGAAGTGGTGGCTGCATCTGCCCCTGGGAAGGGGAGGGGGCTCCCAGGACAGGCAACAGCTTTTCTCTTTAGAAACAGAGAGTCCCGGCGTGTGTAAATCTCCAGGTGCCTGCGCAGCTGCAGCACGGCCCCCTGCGTGCCCAGCAACAAGAGGCAGGCACACCCTGTGTTGCCCCCTTGCGTGCCCAGCAACAAGAGGCAGGCACACACTGTGTTCAGCCGAGCGGCTCCTCCTGCTCTCCGCAGGCTCTGAGACCAGATGTGAAAGTGTTTGCCGCTGAGCCCTGCAACGCAGATGACTGCTACCAGTCCAAGCTAAGAGGGGAACTGACCCCCAACCTTCGCCCTCCGGATACCATCGCGGATGCAGTTAAAACCAGCATTGGACCAAACACGTGGCCCATCATCAGGGATTTGGTTGATGATGTCCTGACAGTCTCAGAGGAAGAAATCAAGGTAAAACGCTCCCGGCTCCCTTCTCACTCCGCCTACGCTCTGCCCCTCCACTCCCACCCCTACGATCTCACAGCGTGGCACAAGCCCCTTCACAGCGCTGCAGCTGTGCAACCCCCCCAGTGTCCAGCTGCAAAGGGCTGGCAGAAGCTCTGCTCTCCCTTCCCAGAGCGCTGCAGAGGGATGCACACGCGGTGCCCTCGGCAGCCCTGGAGCAGCCCATACGTGCTGCTGGAATGACAGCTGCTGCTCTGTCCTGACAGCAAGCCACACGGCTGGTGTGGGAAAGGATGAAGCTGCTGAAACCCAACAGCAGGCGTGGGAGTGGCGGCCGTGCTCTCGGAACAGTTCCAGGCAGTCCCCCGGGACGTGGAGAACGTTTGTGTCGTGCTGTGTGGGGGCAACGTGGACCTGAGTTCCCTGACCTGGCTCACAGACCTCTCTGGGAAACGGAATGAGAACAGAGCGGTGTCTTGAGCCACACTCTGAGTTTGTACATTCTGTTTTGTGTGCAACTAAAAAGCAGATGAACAACCCCAAATGGTTGGAAGTTTTCGCAGAGGGATAAGGGAAGCTGGCGTTGGTCTCTACAGCAGAGTCGTTTGGTTCAACAATCAACAGTCACTACTGGGGGGCCTGGAAACAAAGCACTCCCTGTTCTCCCCTCCCCAGGCACCCTGCTCCGGGACAGGCGTCCAGTGAGCTGCACTCGGTCACTCTCCTCAGCTGCAACTTCACTTTCCTTCCTCAGTGTCAAAAAAACCTCCTGCAAACCCCTCTCCTTGATACCAGCAAAATCCCTGCACACACAGCTGTGTCAGACCGAAAGACAACAGCCCCCGTGGGCCGAGGTGTTCACAGAGCCTCCCAACTTGGCCTCCACATCTGGCCACACCAAGACACAGGCACTTAGATGTTTTTGAAAAAGTTTTCCATTAAAATAAATAGCTGTAGCTGGTACCTGAGCAGCAGCTGGTGAGACAGCTGCCCCCGTACAGACCTCAGCAATAACACGTCCGAGCCGTCAGTGCTGTCCTCCCTGTCCATCAGCTGAGCACAGCATCCGGGGAGCTAAGGCACAAAGTGGAGACTTACTCCATTTCCACCTCCTGCACCAGCAGCGCGCTCTCGCTCCTCGCCCACGGCACGGGCTCCGGAACATGGGGGTCATAAGTCCATTTAGGATAAACGCGCTTGTAGAGGTTAAGCACCGTGTCCTGGGATTTCAGCTGTCCGTCGAAGTGGCACTTCATGTGACCATGGGTCCCTGGGCAGAGAGCAGAAGAGGCCGTTAGCTGTCCCTCCTGCCCAGGAGAACCACATCCTGCCCAGCACGAGAGAGAAACACCAAATCAAACCTACCCAATGGCTCCTTGATGTGTCCTCTACGACCCCACTTCGTCCTCAGCTCCACTGGCTTAAACCACGTCACATCCTCTGGAGATCAAACCGTGAAAGGCAGGTGAGAGACAAGCTTTGCTCCACCAACATAAACCCTCCCACAGGGGCAGGAGTTCTGCTTCTGCATTTCCTCTTCCCACCACACAGAGACAGAGCCGTACCTCTGTTAAAGAACATGTATCTCACGACAGCTGTCTTGGTAAAGATCTTGAAAGGATGGCCACTGAGCACCAGCCGCTTGATGACAATTCTGTCCGGGTCCACGGACAGCAGTGAACCCGTGGCGATGAGGTCATGTACCCCTGCAAGGCGCAGTCGTTAACAAACCAGGGCAGCGTCACAGCAGGTGCCTCCATCACCTCCTTCACCCACCACAACTCCCTGCCCCAAGTGGTTCCAGGCTCAGAGTGACCCCACAGCAGGGATACGCAAACTGATAATGGGGATGGAAACGCACTAATAAACAGAGCGAAGGGGACAGCTTCTTCAAGTCATGCTTTCTGCACAGAGGCACTTTTAAGTGGAAGTGGCCTGCTAACATTTGTTTTCCAGTCACCGCCTTGTCAGCACTTAGCAACTTACCGTTACTTCTCTGTTTAAAAAGCAGCACTGAGGCAGGAGGGAAAGTGATGGGAGCGTAAACAGTCACCACCAGGGCAGCATCCGGGCGCAGAAAACGCTCCAGCTTGTGCTTATCCGCTAGGACAGAACAGTAATGATCAAGTTTAGGCCAACGGCAGCCCTCAGAACTCAGGAAACCCCATCAAGCCTGTTCTTCCCTGGCAAACAAGCTCTGTGCTTTAGGAAAGGAGGTGACAGACACCCCTCCCCTGCTGGCAGAGAGGATCTGGGAAGGAGGGCAATTCTCTGAGCTACCAGCTCACCACGTGGAGCCTGCCACCGCCTTGCCTGGACCAGTGAGCCACCCTGCCCAAGCCCTTCCACTCCCCACTATTTAGTGCCTCCCTCGGAAGCCTCAGAGCCAAAGAGTGAGTCTTCA